ATAACGATAAAAAATGCTTATCGGTGAGTTACATTTTATTACAACTGTTTTCATTATTTTTGAGACATCTGAAAAATTTTTTGACGGCCGAATCGATAAGTTACCGAGTTGGAATCAATAAGTTACTGATTCGGTCGACATCAAAAACTTATCGATTCGATCAAGTTTTCAAATTTCCCAAAAATATTGAAAACAGTCGTAATCTCAACTTTTATTGCAAATATTTTTCTTATTTGTTATTTCCCCCGGAGTGATAACAAATAAGAAAAAAATTTGTGATAAAAGTTGTGATTAATAACACGTAAATCCCGTCATGCGAGACGGGAATTTAAAAATTTTTATTAGCAATATCGCAACCATCTTTTAAAGAAGACGTTCAGCACTATATTTTATGTTTTCAATCAAATCACTATCAGGATAATCTGTTATGACCATCTAAAAGAAAGAAAGGTACAAAAACTATCACAACCATATGAAGCGTATATAAAAAGTTGGTGATTCATTCGCACTTTCTTATATTTGTATATAGGATAGATATATAGTATTTATCATTGTATTGTTTATATATTTAATTCGCTCTTCTTTTAGCACTATTTATAAAAACATATTAGTAAGAATACTACACATTTGTTATATAAATCATAATTCATTGTCATTAATTTGTAAAGATGTCAATGTTGTATTATCGCAAAGTGCGATAGCTAATGCTTTTAAAAAGTTTCTTTTGATAAGAAAGGGTAATTATCACCAAGATTTGGATTCTTGGTTTCTTGAATGTTTTCTAGCTGTTGTTTAGCTTTAGGCGTTAATCCATCAACCTCCAAATCTTTACATTGATCAAAAAGTGATTCAACATCAGATTTCACAAGTCTTCTAAAATTTTTATCATTCTTCGCAACTTGAAATTTCTTTCTCCATTTAATCTCATAAAGAGCCAAAACATAAGGGAGAGTCGGATATTATGGCGCACTTAAGAGTTGCTTATATAAAAATTTTTAGGAATAGCAAATAGATTACTCATCGAATTAACCATCTGCCAATAAAAAAAAAATCGACATTAAAAAAAAAGATTGAAATATGAACTTTTAAAACCTACTCAAAAAATGCTATGTTTTTACATTTTGGGGTATTATGGCACACTATGTCCACTACGTATGTGTTTCGTATTGTATTACTGCATCCTTCTTCCGAACATTACCTAAATGAGGAAATATGTAATAAAAATTAAAAGAAGCTTAATACTGGCATAAGTAATATCGACTTATACTTACATCTTGTGGTTTAAAAGTGCATGGGCAAGTGGAATTTCTTTCCCGGTTTTAGGGTCCAGTGATAATAATGTATATCATCAGACTCCACACCATTGACGGTTTACACGCGCACATTTTTCTGAAGGAGATTAAAAATTTCTTAGCAGCAACGTATTCATTTTGTGAAATTCTACGCGTGCGTAATTTCCTTTTTAATAAGAGGTTTGTTCTATGTGTGGCATCTAAAAGAATCGTTGACATATTTCCTTTAGCAATTAAAATCAAAAAAAATATATATTATTTGACTCGTCTCAGTGTATCGCGAGATATAGTCAAAAAAGCTCACCAAACCCGTTTT